TAGATACTGTTTGTGAACTAGTCCTATTATTTTCTCCACTCTAATGTGTTTCCTGGCTGGACTGACTCACTTCTCAAGTAGAATTCCAAAATTCCAAATGTGAAGTTCAGGCGTTCAAACCTTTTTCCTGCTGGAAATTGATGCCGTTTCCTGTTGTGCAGTTTTATTCATTGTTGTAGCTTCACTGTCACTGACATCACAGCTGTTGGGTTTTTTTTGGGTATAAATCATAAATCATTAATCATTAATCATAAATCACCATCTCGACCTGTTTACTAAGTATTTTGCTACACTGTGTTATATACTGTGGTACTACTAGTTACCACTACTAGTTAAGAAGAAGAAGAAGAAGCTTTTTTCTTCATTTTATATTTGAGGTCACAACAAAATCTGTCCCCTGTGTTTAGCCCATCCCTGGGGGGTAGGTGGCGCCCTCAGCAGCACCACAGTCAGGGCGGGATTTGAACCTTCGCTAAGGAGCCTGATTTTCTTGCCTCTGGTCCACAGGCTGTCCGTTGGTTAGAGTAATAATAATGCATGCACTTAGTTCTGAGTAATTTATTACGGCCCAACTCCTATTAGAGCCAGGCCCGACTGTGTGAAAGCATCTTCTGTGTCTTTCTCACTCCGGCTGCTGCGCCCTGTTCCTCTCTGTCTCAGTGTGTTGTGGCTGCCGCACTCTGCTGCTCTGTGTTTTTACACAACATGCGGTGTCACAACACGGCCCTGCGCCAGATTTGCCAGCCTCCCAGGCGGCCGCGCCAAACCCCAGTCTACAGTGCGCACAACAGTCCCCGGCTGCTGACGGCACAAGCTCGCATTCACATCCTGGTACGGAAGGATTACACACACACGCACACACACACGCACGCACGCACGTGAAGTGCCCACGCTCGTGAGTGGATGAAATGAGATCAACAAATGCAATTATCTGTTTCGACACTTTTCACTTGAGCTCAAGTTCAACAGCGCGGACGTCCACGCCTTTATAACGCAACAACGGGCTGTTGTTACAAGTCATCTGCATAAATGTCTCTGAAACAAGTGAGTTTATAGATCTGAGAGCATCGTAAAATGAAAGAGCGCGCGCCTCCTGCCAGACCTCAGGCCCAGTATAAGCAGCTCAGTGTTTTAATTGAAAGTCTCACAGGACCAGGACTTGTTTCTCTGGGAATCAGCTGGGGAAAACCTCTGGCTCTGGTGTTAACGTCCAAAAGCTTGCTGCAAGAAGGCACCAATTACACATGAAGGGCTGAAATTTCATTTTAAACGTCTCACTTCATCCTCCCACGATGTCAAGCTGGGAAGCACATGCACTTTAGAGTGCATTTCCGAAGCATTCAAATCTAATGTTGTGCTGTCATAGGTCAGCCCGGACGCTGACTCAGCTCCACCTCTCTCTCGCGGTGGATCGACAAAAGCTAACAGCGTAAAGCGCCGGGTCAATAACCGGGGAATCTAAATCACCGTAAACAGGCAGGTCCTGACCGAGCCGTTGATTTTTGGAGCACATGACCGCGTCATCCGTGAAACGTCACGACCCGCGCTAATAAATGAGTGCAGTTTTCTAATTTGCCCAGGATTCTGTCAGAGGTCAGAGAGCGTCACCTTTAGGCCTTTGAGCTCCTGCTCAGGGGTCGGAGGAGGTGAGAGCATCGCCACAGGCAGGCACGCTCGAATGCAAATTAACTGATTCTGCTGTGTTTTTATGGCTTAAGACTTTAACGCTCAGGCAGGGAGTTTGGACGACGACGGCGTTTGTTACGTTTATGTCACAGAACACTGACGTTGATGTAGCATCTGAATCTACGTCCTGGTTTGGTTTTTACAGAGTGAGGGTCTCCAGAGTTTTTTCTAGGATAATTAGTTGTTGTTTTTCTTTTTCTTCAGCTTTGTATTCATCCAATCAGTGACAGTGACAGTGCTACAGCAGTTACATGTCTTTTTCTTCCTCTTCTGTAAAATGATCAGAAAGACTTCAAACACTAATTGAACACAGATGGGTGGAATTTACTTAAGAGATAAGTAGGAGGCGCTGCAGGCAAAAATGAAATTAACGATTCAAATCCCTATTAATTGCAGTCATTATGATTAATTAATAGAGTAAACCAGTGATTATTATGTCTGTTAACGCAGCGGTATCCGACCTGTGTTGTACCCTCAGACCACCAGGGGTCTTGATTTAAAAGTTGGCAAATCTGCAGTATCTTTGTGATTTTGAATCTTGAAGAAATATGGGAAAATCTTCAATCTTTGTTGACATGTTGTTGGTTTAATGTGACAGAAAATGAAGGCAGGTCTGGAGTACGTCTAGAGAAGAGCTCTGTTAATTCGGGGTGATCTCTGAGACGTCTCTCAATTTGGTCGTAGTTGCCGTAGAAGACAATCGGACAACGATCCACCACCACTGCGGAGGCAGCGACAGATTTTTACTGTCGGACTTGATCAGCGAATAGGAATGTTCTAGATCCTGCTCCATCTGCTGGTTTCCAGGAAGGTCA